AAAAAAAAAGAAAGAAAAGAAATTATTATTAAAGATTTAAGACAGACTATAGAGGTTGGAATGGGGTATGAGGAAATGAATATATAGCTGGAATGGATCAATATTCTATCAATGAATTAAAGAAGATTGTTATACTTGAGTAGCAAGGAGGCCAGAAGCTCAAGTGGTCCCATTCTTGCTGGATGGACCTCAGACTCTCTAGGGAATCCTTGATTCCTCAGTTCCTGGTCATAAAGACAGAGGCAAAGACCTTTTCAAACTTTTGACCACTCTTGATCAGAACCAATTACATGCCCTGCCTCAAAAGGTGTGGAGAGGAATTTGAATTCTTGGGCAGTGTGTCTGAATGGAAGAGCCTCTGTGCCTTTGAGATGTGACATTACTATTGCCTGAACATGACCAGAGAAGATGTCTGGTGGCATTGTGGTAGACTATTACTCAAAATCTTTCCAGCTAATTGGAGTAGAACCTGTGCTTTAGTCAACTGGCTATTCCTTTCACTATTATTTCATCAACACAACCAGGGTCAACTTCAGTTGTCTCGTAGAACAAGAACAAGGGGGCTTCTGACTCCAAGAGCGCCATTTGGTCCCCGTGTTTATACAGAGTCCACCAGAGTGCCAGGGGGAAGCCTGGATGAATTTCAGTCAGGGAACCAAATAGCAGGGGCTTTGGGTCACGCTGTTGTTACCATATGATCTACCATAGATAAAATGTAGACCAGATCAATTATATCCACCCAACAAGGCTTTGTGAATTGCACTAGGGATGCTACCAAGGGTACAGCAGGTCACCTGGGGGGCAGCAGTAGAATGGGGTGGGAAATGAACTGGCCCTAGACAAGTTATCACCAGGAAAGGGTGGAGTCAGGTGTGTGGTGAAACATGGCCAGCGTTACACTTGCATTGCTTATAACATGGCTCCTGATGGCATCATTACAAGGGCTCTTCCAGAACCATTTGTCCAGTGAACTGAAAGTTCAGGGAAAAAAATGATCCTTTTTCTCCTTTTTCTAATCTTAAGGAACAGTGGTTTGAAATGAGGTAATGACCCCAGTCCCGACCTTCATTGTTATGGTACTAGAAGGAACAGTTGGAGGATGATGTTGGACAATCCTGTGCATACAAGGTCTAGTTCAACAATTAACTGACATCAGTAATTGACAAAATTCCTACATCTTATCATATATGTTACTGATGAGTACCTCAGAACAGGAAAGTCTGGCAAAATTAATTGAATTAGAAGAAAAATAATTTTGCTGGGGGGAGGAGGTGTTATGGGAGATACAAATAAAATACACTGTCTAAGATAAGAGTATGCATCCAAGGCTACATCCTGCTCTCTCAAATTGTCCTTTGGTTACCAACTGTGCCATTTTGAATTAGCCAACCATATAAGAGTGTTAGGCCAAGTTCTAACCACTCACAGAGGCAAAGGAATAAAAAACCCAGTGGGATTAAGGGTGTGGCAACCCACACCTCTAATCCCAGCATCTGGGAGGCAGAAGCAGGCGGATTTCTGTGAGTCTGAGGCCAGCCTTGGCTACAGAATGAGTTCCAACACAGCTAGGGCTACATAGTGAGACCTTATCTCAAAAGGAAACAAAACAGCAACCCCCCAGTGGGATGGCTCTGTGTGTGCTCCCTGGACTCAGAGCAGTTTTGCACCTTCCGCAGAAATGAGCTTTTTGCCTTGCTGGAATACTTTGTATTGCGTGATCATTTCCTTGGAATCCCAGACCCATTCCTTTCTTTAAAAATAATTTTTTTACATGCATGTATTATTTTGTGCATGTGGGCACACATAGGCAGGTCAGAGGAACACTTGCAGGGGTCAGTTCTCTTCTCTCCTTCCATCATGTGGCTTCCAGGGATCAACTCAAATCATCAGGCTTGGCACCAAACACTGTACCCTGTTGAGCCATCTTCCTGGCCCCAGACTCATTTCTAACAACCGCTTGGCTCTGCCCAGTCACAGGGACCCCCAGGGACCAGCTGGCCTAGGTAATTCTAATCTTGGGGCTCCAGGTTCAGAAAGCCTCATGTCCCTGACATTTAAGATGAGCACAGAAGCGTCTTGGTTAGTTTTTGTCAACTTGATTCAAGCTGGATCCATTGAGAAAAGGAACTTCAGTTGGGGACGTCCCCGCTAGATTAGCCCGTGATCTGTTGTCTTGGTTGATGTGGATTATATATAAGGAAGCAGGCTAAATCCCAGCACTCAGGAGGCAGAGACAGGTGGATCTCCGAGTTTGAGACCAGCCTGGTCTTCAGAGTGAGTTCCAGGACAGCCAGAGATACACAGAGAAACCCTGTTTTGAAAAATCAAACCAAAGAAAAAGAAAAGAAAAAAAAAAATAAATAAATAAAGGCTGAGCAAGCCATGAGGAGGAAGCCAATAAGCAATGTTCCTGCATGGCTTCTGGTTCAGTTTCTGCCTAGAGTTCTGGCCCTGACTTGCCTTCTGTGATGGACTGTGACCTAGGATATGTAAGCAGAAATTAACCCTTTCCCCTCTGTCAGGTCCAAAAGAAACTGGGGACAAATGGTTAACTGTGGCACCTATTAGCATACCCAAGAGCATTCTGACACCTCTCAGTACCTCAAGCACTTGTTGCAGAGTCGATGCTGCCTGTCAGCTCTTCTCGCCACGCTCCCTACCCTTCTCTTGGTCTCTTGCTCCCTCTCTTGTTTTCCTCTCTCACTCCCCCACCCCCCACTTTCATGGCCCAGTTCAGTCTCCTGGTCATGCTTAATTACTACTTTCTTTCCCTGCTCTAGAATCTTCCAGATGCTTTTGGCTGTACTTCCTCATAGCTACAAGAAAACCCTTCCCCTCAACCATACCTTGGAGTGGTCATGTCCTCATTTCATTCAGTTCCCAAGTTCATTTTGGCTCTGGTGTTTTATCACAGTAACAGAAATCCTAAGACAAAAGATGAATGTACTGTGGGACTTCAGCCTCAGATAAGTGGTGAATTTGCAATGGCTGGAAGACCCAGGCACCATCACAGTTGAGAGATTAACTGAGTATAAACCTCTGTCCACTCCTCATAGTGCTAGGGGCATTATTTCCCAGTGTTGAGGATGGAACCCAGGGCCTCACACTTTCTGGGTAAGGACTCTATCTTCCAGCCCAGCCCCTTGCTGCTGTGTTGGATTGGGTGCCCTCTGACCGCTAACCTACACTTAGTTATAAGGGAAAGTCAGGCCACCCACATAGCACAGCTGTACAGCAGGCTGCTGATACAGAAAGCAGCTGTAAGGAGAGCCAAGGCAATGCCTTAAGTCCTACCTCGAATGGCTCCTCCTTCTCTCGGGGCCTAGGCCTTTTGTGGCTGATGCGGAAGCAGGTCTGTGGTCTGAGGCCAACCCCCTGCACTCTGTGGCTGGACTGGTTGCTCCATAGAAGGCAGGCACTCCCAGTTAAGGAAGGCCTGTGTTCCGGGCTTTACTCTGCTGAAGAATGTCAGTGTGAAGACAGGTGGTTCTCACAGCCCGCAGTGGATACAGGAAACAGTACAGCACTGCAGTGGTTTAGGCCTGCAGACCATGCATCCGCTTATGAAATGGAGACTTGCCTGGAACCCGAGATTTGGGGGCTGCTTACAAGTTCCTGGAATCTTCTAGAGAGGGTCCAGGGAGCCAGTGATTCACAGAGAAATGTCCAAGCTAGGAGTAGGGGAAGAAGGCCTGGACCTGAGTCTTCGGTTGAGCACTAACTAGGTAAATAACTAGGTTATTTATACATTAAAAAAATTTTACTTCTGGGCAGTGGTGGTCCATACCTTTAATCCCAGCACTCGGGAAACAGAGGCAGACAGATCTCTAAGTTTGAGGCCAGCCTGGTCTACAGAGTAAGTTCCAGGACAGCCAGGGCTACACAGAGAAACGCTGTCTTAAAAAACCCAAACAATAGCCGGGCGGTGGTGGCGCACGCCTTTAATCCCAGCACTCGGGAGGCAGAGGCAGGCGGATCTCTGTGAGTTCGAGGCCAGCCTGGTCTACCAAGTGAGCTCCAGGAAAGGCGCAAAGCTACACGGAGAAACCCTGTCTCGAAAAACCTAAAAAAAAAAAAAAAAAAAAAAACCCAAACAACAACATCAACAACAAAAAATTTTACTGACCATCAGTGGCGGCTCATGCCTTTAATCCTAGCACTGAGAAGACAGGAAAATCTCTGTGAGTTCAAGGCCAGCCTGGTCTACAAAGCAAGTTCCAGGACAGCCAGAGCTGTTACACAGAGAAACCCTGTCTTAAAACAAAACAAAAAAATTAGCTCAGTATGAGAATACTTGTCTAGCATGTACAAGGCACTGAGTTCCTTGATTCATCCCTGCTAACACACACACACACACACACACACACACACACACACACACACACACACACACACTGCCAGGTATGGATGGTGCACATTTGTAAACCCAAAACTTGGGAGGTAGAGTTAGGAGGATTAGGAGTTTCAAGACCATCCTCAGCTACACAATAAGTTCTAGGCCAGCCTGGGCT